TGTTGTTGTAGTAGTAATAATGAGGAGAAACATTCGGGTACTAGTGATAAAATTATTGTTGAAAAGGTCCTTTCGATATCATTCAAAGTTAGAGGAGGAGTGACGAGGAATTACAGAGTTATCAATTATAAAATCACTGCAAAGGAACCATCCATGCCACTCGAAAAGTTGCTGTCACGAATGGAAGTGTTGAGAAAATACATTGGACAGAAGAAGTGTTTGGAAATGCTGAAAAATCATCCATCATTTGTTGCTTCGTTGAAATTATTCATGAGAGTTGAAGAAAAATCTAATATCGTGAAGATAATGGTTCATCGATTGGTGGAGTTGTTGAAAGAGTGGGGAATGGAAATGATGGAAGAGGAAGAACTGGAGAAACAGTTTTGAATATTTTCAACGATTTGTATTTTAAAGCCAACCTTCACTCCGTTCATAACATATCAAGTGAATATGGAGCTGTGAATTACCAAAATATCATTTCCAATAAAGGGGCATAGTTCAATGGTAGAATGAAGGATTGTGGTTCCTTAGACGAGGGTTCGATTCCCTCTGCTCCTAAAAAGATTTTTAATTTACCCTTTGTAGGTCGTACAAGGGATCTCACATTCCGACAAGCGTAATGATTGTCTTCGAATGGGAAGATGCACAGATTGTATTCCTTTCTCAAATTGACTGCTTGTTTTGTCAATTGGCTTTATGCATTTTATGAGAAGGTAAAAAACTACAAAATCCGCTCAGCCTGAAAAAAGGAGAAAACCAAAGAAATGTGAAGCCCAAAGAAATACTGTTAAGCAATTGCTTGGTTGATCCATGACAATTGTTATAACTAGATGAATTAAATTAATGATTTTTATAATAATAAAAAATTTTTGGTTAGCTCAATATAATCCTTGTCGAAAAGATTAGATCAAGGTGGAAATACACCGTCACAATGTTCATCCTTACCACAAGAACATTCCAATCAGCTAAAAAGGTACCTTAGAAGCTTAAGAAAGCAAGTGGTGAGAGTGCGAATGGGAAGTCACTAGGTGAATCAAAACGCACGAATCTGCAGAAATTTTTTTTAAGCATGAAAATATTTTTTTTTTGATAATAACTAGGCATGACTTTATTTGCGGGAGCAAACGGATCCACAAGGATCGTAA